CAACGGTAAAATTATTTTTGTTGCTACTTCTTAACTGTAATTTTGCTACTGTTATGAATCATAATGTAAATACCTGATATGCAGGGGACCCCCAAAGGGTTGTGACCTACATGTTGAGAACCACTGGCTTAAGTGATTCTCTTGCCTTAGCCTCCCAAGTAGCTAGGACTACAGGCATCCGCCACAATACCCGGCTATTTGTGGTTATACTTGTCCTTGTTGTTTGGCAGGCCCGGGCTGAATTCAAACCTGCCACTCCGGTGTATGTGGCTGGCACCCTAGCTGCTGAGCTACAGGTGCCAAGCCTTTGTGTGTTTTTTTTTTTTTTTTTTAATGTTCAAAGATTCAACAGAACAAGTCACCTAAACTACCTGTAGGTTGAGAGTGAGTTGGTAACCACTCGTTTCCTCAGGGCAAGGAATTGCCCAGATGGTCATTTTGGTTACTTCTTGGTTCTAGCATTCTTTACTTCTTGTCTTCAACTTTATTTACATAGTTACGTATAAACTTATTCTGTCACCTTCTGCTTTTTTCCACTTTACCCTTTTTGAAAAAGTAAGGATGAATATTTTTGTGTATATTACAATCTGTTGAACATTAGAAAACCATTTCTGAAAGTTGACTATTTCTTTGAATTGGGAGAAAAGGTTCCTTGATTTCCTTGATTTAAAAATAAAATTTGGGGTTGGGCATAGTGACTCACGCTTATAATCCTAGCACTCTGGGAGGCCAAGGCAGGTGGATTGCTTGAGCTCACGAGTTCAAGATCAGCCTGAGCAAAAGTGAGACCCTCGTCTCTAAAAATAGCTGGACATTATTATGAGTGCCTATAGTACCAGCTACTCAGGAGGCTGAAGCAAGAGAATTGCTTGAGCGCAAGAGTTTGAGGTTGCTGTGAGCTGTGATGCCATGACATTCTACCCAAGGTGACAAAGTGAGACTTTTCTCTCTAAAAAAACCCTTCATTTATCATTGAAGTATTTCTTTTTGGCAGATAGTCAGTTTGGCCTTTGAGAGAAACTTAATGCAGGTTGAGTACACCCTATCCAAAATACTTGGGACTAGAAATAATTTGGACTTTTTTCCAGATTTTAGTATATTTGCATATACATGATGAGATACTTTGGGGATGAGACCCAAGTCTAAACATGAAATTCATTTGTGTTTTGTATGTACCTTCTACACATAGCATGAAGGTACTTCTATAGGATATTTTTAATAATTTTGTACGTGAAACAAAGTTTTGACAATGTTTTAACTATTACTTGTCCTATGAAGTTGGGTGGGTAATTTTCCACTTGGGGAACCATGTCAGCACTCAAAAAGTCAGATTTTGGAGCATTTCAGATTTTCAGATAAGGAATATTCAACCAGTAGCAAATTTAAGATTAAAGCTGTGTTGGATTAGAACCATGATGCTTCTGAGTACTTGTTTTATATTGAAGGTAGTTTATTAAGTAGATGGTTAAAGTATCTTTTTATAAAAACATGTTTTTGTTTTTGATAGAGATAAGAGTCTCAGTTTATCGCCCTTGGTAGAGTGCTGTGGAATCACAGCTCACAGCAACCTCCAACTCTTGGGCTTAAGTGATTCTCTTTGCTTCAGCCTTCCAAGTAGCTGGGACTACAGGCACCCACCACAATGCCCAGCTATTTTTTGGTTGTAGTTGTCATTGCTGTTTGGCAGGCCTGAGCTGGATTTGAACCCGTCAGCTCCAGTGTATGTGGCTGGCACCCTAGCTGCTGTGCTACAGGTGCCAAGCCTGAGCTCTATCTTTTAGAACAAGTTATGAATGTTGTAGGAGTTGCTGAGAAAAGATAGCTGGCGACTGAAGTAATAACAATAAAACTGCTATTCAGTGCAGCTAAGTATATATCTGCTATTGCTAATTCCCTCAATTAACCTTGTACATTTGACATTATCATTAATCTTTTGCAGATAAGAAAGTTAAGATTCAGAGAGAGTTGGGATTCAGAGTCAACTCAGAGTCTAGAGCTCATGTTTTTGTTGATAGAAAGAGCCAACTGAAGAGAAGTGATCAGTATATGTCCCACAAAGAATGTGGGACTTACTAGGCCTGAAGAATGAGTGGTGACATTAGAACAGCAGCATGAAAAATAGTTCAGCAAGGGGGCAAACCAAGAGAGAGAAACAAGAATGGGCTCAGCAGTTCATAAGATAGTGCAAAGTCTTGTCTAATGAGGACTCAGGCTGACTGGTGGGAGTTAGTGAAGATTGAAATCTGAAAGCTGGATTACAGCAGGTCTGAAAAACTAGATGAGGAGTCTAGTTAGTTGCCAGTAGTTAAAGGACAATTTAGGTTTTTTGACAATTGTAGTTACGTAGGATGCATTTATAAGAAAACCTGTCTGGGAAGAGGGAGAGAAGGGAGAACTTGGAGTTCCACAAGACAACCAAGGAGGAGGGTACACTAGCCTTTGCTTACAAGTGGGGGGATGAAGGTAGGGCTGGAGAAGAAAGGATGGATACCACAGACATTTCAAAGAAGAAAAAATTGGACTTGCAGTGAGTCACTAGATAAGGATTAAAAGAGGGAGGCAGAGATAACTTTGAGGTTTTAAGCTTAGGTGTCTAGGGAAAGAGATGGGTTTCTATTAGCAAAGACAAAGAAGTTGAGGAGACAAGTGATTAGGGAAAGGGTAGAGTATGGGTTTAAGTGAGGAGGCTGACTGTGCCCATATTTCAAGTAACCTATGAGGTATTGAAAGTCAGCAGAAAGCCTATGAGAAAGCCAAAGCAAAGTATCCACAGCAAAGGGCCAGCATGGCCCAGAACTGATGACCAGAGGGAACTATTGTTGCAAATAGGGTGAGGGATGAGAAGTGGTGTGATGACCATAATTGGAGAACATGCAGGTTTCCCGTTGGATTTGAGCAGGCTCTTTCAGCCTAGTGTTCTCCACAATGAGTGCCTTCTCAATGCTTTAGGATTTTGTCAATTTAGAGATATTTAGCCTTCTCATTTCATTTTCTCCATACTCTCATATGTATGGATATAAAAGCCTCCCCATTTTAGAGACTGTTAATGGAATTAAAATAAAGGAGAACTTAAATTTGTGTTATCAGTTTAATTATGCTTTCTCTGAGAAATCCATTTTTTATATGAGAAAATATAAAATACTGTTTGTGAGCATTAAGCCCTCTCCTGCTCTGTGTATCTGAGGCTAGAAAAAGACACACTCCCAAGAAATCAAGATAAAGGGAAAAATGACTTTGAGATGTACTTTCTTAAAATAACTGAAGGGATGACCTCATAGGCCAGCTGATAGCATGGGCTTGCAAATGGATACATTTCTATCAGCTGCTGCTTGGTGCTGCAAAGCCAAATATATGTGGAGTGTATTATATCATATCCTGTAGGCAGGAGGCTGTCTGGTGGGGAGAGGGACTTGGAAGGGTGAAGAGGAAGAAGGAATAAAGTGAATACTATCAACCAGAGCTTGCTTTATTAGGTAACCATTACTAATTAGGTTCATGGTTCCCTACTATATAATAATTTGTATCATCTTCTGGTAAAATAATACCTATTATAATAAGAAAAATTAGGAGTATACCTGATATTTATATAAGATCTTCAGTATTAAAGTGTTACCATACTCTTTCACTCACTAATACCATTCCCATTTCTGTTTTTCTTTTTTACTTTATAAGTCCCCAAGTCTTACTCATCACTAAAAATGCCCTCTCTTTTTGGTTTGAAGCTGTAGAGGCAGTATAGATGTGTCGGTAGTTGGAGGACACTACTTGTGTCAGGATTGTTGCAGACCACCAGGTTAAAGGAAAGCACTAGGTCTGGGGAGGCGTCATAAGGTTATAACTTGGTAACTGCTTTTCTTGCCAAAAATCATTCTTAGCAACTAAGATTATTCACAAAATAGATCCCCTCTACCCCTGATGCACACAGAGTGTAGTTACTGTGCCAGGAAATGAAGAATGGGAATTATCTCTATTGTTTAAAACTTGTTTGCTCTGGAATTTTTTGTAAAATAACTGAAGGAAGTACACAGCATTTCTAAAATCATACCTGCTTCTCTATAGAGATATATTAGACTCATGGGCAGTGTCCTAGCTTACTAGAAACTTACTAGAAAAGTTAGGTTTTTCTTTTTTATTATGTTAAAGCCCTATTTATTTGCATATATTTTGTAATCAACCACTTTACTCATTTCTTACTGTTTATGGTAGTTTTTCATTTGACTCTTTGTGGTTTTTCCAGATAGTTATTTCATCTACAATGGGTTTTAGGGGGAGTTTGTGTGTGTTTGTTTGTTTGTTTTTAAGACAGAGTCTCTCTGTATCACCTTGGATAGAGTGCCGTTACATCCTAGCTCACAGCAACCTCAAACTCTTGGGCTAAAGCGATCTTCTTGCCTCAGCCTCCCCAATAGCTGGGAATACAGGTGCCTGCCATGATGCCTAGTTTTCTATTTTTAGTAGAGATAAGGTCTCACTCTTGCTCAGGCTCGTCTCAAACTCCTGAGCTCAGGCAATCCACTTGCTTCAGCCTCCCAGAGTGCTAGGATTATAGGTGTGAGCCACCAGCTTGGCCATACAATGGTGATTTTTATCTGCTTCTCATCTTTTATTTCTCTCTCTTATCTCTTGATTGGTCAGTACCTCCAGAACAGTGTTGAAAACACCCTGATTTGACATATTAACTGCATAGAAACTGTAAAATGGAAGTAGTACCAGTAATATCTTAGGAGGCAGAAATCAAACTTGGTAGATGTTCTTGCTTTTACAAGAACAAGTCTACAAAATTCAGCCTAAGGTGCACTTTACCAACATATGTATGATTCTTAGTCACCCACAGAGCTATGTAACCTATGGAAAACAGTGGTCTCCGTCAGTCACATTTTCGAATTCTTTGAGACCCTCTAGGAAGGCTCTCTGTTCGATAATCAAACAAATTGGTAAGGGACATAAACACATCCCAGATGTCTTTCATGAATATTGATGACCACACTCTTCTCTTCCAGGCCCAGCTTCGGGCATTTATCCCAGAGATGCTCAAGTACTCCACAGGTCGGGGAAAACCAGGCTGGGGGAAAGAAAGCTGCAAGCCCATTTGGTGGCCTGAAGATATCCCATGGGCAAATGTCCGAAGTGATGTTCGCACAGAAGAGCAAAAGCAGAGGGTAGAGTTCCTTTGACCTGAGTTTCTCATTGCTTTTTCATTCTGAAGCAACAACTTCAACTTATGTCATTTCTACTACTTATGCTAAACAGTGTAAAAACATTTGTTTTAAATCTGTCCCCCCAAAGAAGATTTATGTTCTTTGATTTATAACATTTCTCACTCATCTGTCTATTACTGTAAAGAGAAGATGGAATGGGTTTATTAATTTGCACGTCTCTTCATAGTTGTCTTTTGGAGCAGTTTTAATTTAATAAGTGATTACAAAAATCAAAAAAACTTGAAGAAAATGTATTGAAATTAGTTGTTTTGAACAGTGAGCAAGAATCACTGTTGAAAAATATAAATATGGAATTAGATATGAAATCTGCTGAATGAGTCTCTTAATAACAAATTTTAGAAGCAAGACTAAACTAGATACTATCTCTTTTTCTAATTATTTCTTTTTCATTTAGCTTGGAATTTTACTAAAAACCTTAATATATCATTCTTGGCCAGAATAATCTTTATGGCAAGTTTGAATTTAGCTTCAGGTTGAAATAGGGTCTAAAACCCCAAAGCTAAACTGGTAATTTAATCAGGAAGGAAACCAGGGGGAAGCCCTCTTTGGTACTTAGTGCTTAGTTTCTTTGTGCCAGAATCAGTCTGTGGGAAATAATTCTAAGAAAGTTAACTCTGTGAGAGGTTTGGTGTGGTTTGATAAAGAAGCAGCTCCTTATTGTACATTGGGACTAAATACCCAAAATTCTTTGTGGCTTAATATGCTTTTCTGGTCTTTTGGTGATAGGTTTCATGGACCCAGGCACTACGGACCATAGTTAAAAACTGTTATAAACAGCATGGGCGAGAAGATCTTTTGTATGCTTTTGAAGATCAGCAAACACAAACACAGGCCACAACTACACACAGTATAGCCCATCTTGTACCATCACAGACCGTAGTGCAGACCTTTAGTAACCCTGATGGCACTGTCTCACTTATCCAGGTGAGTAAACCTGGTGGTTGCTTGATTGTGGTTTCTGAGAAGGATCAGTGAGTACCTCCCCTTAGACTAGAGAAGTCTTGTTTGTGCAAACTCTCTTGTGAACTTCATTATATAGGTTCCCAAGATCTTTCTACCTGAAAATGATTTCTGAAGAATATTTTAAATTGTTTACATTTTCTGAATACAGAGCTATAAGTAACTTTCATGGATATTTTCAAAACAGAGCACTTTAAAATAGCTTCTTATAGTTTCATTGTGAGTGGCCTGGGCATATTTCTTCTGAGGTAAAAGACAATTTGGTAG